GGGGGGCTGTCGACACGGGACACGACACCATATATGTGTTGCGATTCCCGCAAGCGGATTGTGTAAGGGCCATGCCTGGCTGTCTAGGGATGTTTGGGCTCAATCCCTTGTAAAACAAATGTTGTACCTCTGAGCATGTAATCATGAGTCGCGTGTGCTCTGTAGGTGAATGGCTGAGCCAAGCCCCTGACCTTCTGGTGCTATTTAGTCAAAAGGGAGCTTCTCAAAATTGAGGGCTCCCAGGACCCCGGGATGTGCGCAGAGGACCAGGGGATTTTTAGGGTCCTATTTGTAGGGCTGATACAAGGATGAGTTCATGGTCTCTCCTGCAGATGGCTTTCCCACTTCATTCAAGCTTGTAACCCCATGAGTTCAGCAGCATTCTGTCTCTGAACCCGAATCCCTAATCCCTGAACCCGAAATACGGCAGACGCTCATTCAGGCCTATGAGGATTCTTTGGGGAACTAGCGACCGTAAATTGGGCTGTCAAGCCTTGACTGCCAAGCCCTGAAAAATTCACATGGGCTATGGTCTACACTCCTAGTATAGCCCTTAATAAGCCTTACGGTCTAGGGTTTAGGGTCCAAACTCCTAGTATCCCCCTTAGTAACCCTATAGTAGTCCCCTGCATAATCCTGTATATAACCCCTTGTAAGGAGCTGAGATTATGGCTCACCTGAGGTTCAAGCACAACTGGGGCACCGCGGAGAAGCTTTACAAGTCCGAGGCTGGGCGCAGCAGAAACGGACAGGCTGCGTAGTACTGGGGCAAGGGTTCCATTGTTTTCTGGGTTGCCTTAGCAATTCTAAGGATTCGCAGTTTGATTTTGCGTGGAGAAAAGTGGGCATTTGAGATTGGCCTGTGTGGATGTCACACTGATTCTGATGATTAAAAAGGATATTGCATCCGCATTTCTGCTTCTCTCATGGCTCCTATATCTGCTACCTGTATTGTCTCTATAGTTCTTACTCACCCGGGAAGCGGAACGCGTGTCACTTTACAAGAACCATCAACGTCATCACCGCCAGCACCACGCGCAGCTGCCCCCGAGCCACCCGCACCCCACAGCACCAGTGGCTCCTGCAGCTCCATTACACAAACCCCTGGGACGATCTAGAAAGTAGTTTCCCCTTAAAATGCCTCCTAGAAAGTAGCCAATAGTAGTATGGGGTACCATAATGGATGTTCTACTTTCTAGATCCCCCCAGGGGCCTGGGTTAGCGGACACGCGGTTCGCTACAGGCCATTGATTCCTTCGGCAACAAGTACCTCCTGGGCGTTTTCGAGACCAAGGGGGAGGCTGAGAAGGCCTTCGATGAGTGGAACAAGGAGCAACTTGAACGTGAGAGTCCGTTGCATTTTCTCTCAGGCAATTTGCTGTCAGCTGTCAGTTGGGAGGCTCAGGGAATGTACATGTAAACATACACATAGGTGTATAAGTACACATATATATCTGTATATGTATGTATATATATGCTGCTTGAAGAATCGCAGAGGTGTCTTGTTGCAGTTTTTTGTATGAAGGCACTATCTTTGCCCTCCCAAGTACCTCTGTGGAGCGTTCAGAGGCAGTAGGATGATGAAACAAATGGGCTTAATTCAACGATTTGTTCATATATGGTGAACCGAACTCCAAGAAAGCCCTTTTCTCGGGAGCCTGTGCTACGAATTCCCTGACGGAACTGCATGGAGCTGCAAGCAGGTCAGTTTGGAGGTAGTTGTTGATGCTTGATGCACTAGTACCAGTGCTGGATCCAAAGTTGCCCTACCCCAGAGCAAGCAAGGTACGACCAGGCTGGTGCCGATGTCAAGGAGTCCCTGAGTGGCTGGGCAAAGCAACAGGAGGCGAATCTGGCAGAGGACCAGGATGCGGTGGACCGCATGCGCAAGGCACTTGAGGAGGCACGCCGCTGAGGCGGCATGAGTCATGACTAGGATTCTTCCCAGACCTTCCCAAACATGGCAACGGAAAACCATGCTGCAATCCTACTACAAGGAGTTGAATCCCGAAGAATATGGAAGGTCCCAGATTATGTGCAAAGCACGTATTCCTTACCCTCCAGGCTGCCAAGCACTTGGCAATCTTGTGCACGGCATGCCTCGCAGTTCTTCACCAAGGGCGCTCGAGCGCCGCTTATGGTTTTTGACCGCATGAATGTCAGAGCAAAATTGCGTGGAGCATGGGTGTGCGCTACTCCGTCTTTGGCTTGGACTGGAAGGGCTGGGCGGGAAACGTGAATACGAGAGCTGTTTCAAAACAATCCTTATGCGATCTGCCTATATCTCGAGGATCCTGAAGCGGCCAACTTTTGAGAAACCTGCGACATGTGGTTTCTTGCGCGGCATGGGGATGATCAGCACATGATCTACACTCCCAGCCTCACACAATCATTCCCTGTTGCTTCTTGCTAGAGGGCATGAGGATAATTCATAATACAGATTCTGGGTGGACTCCATCCCCTAATTCCCTGCTGACAAGCCAAGCTATGTGTCTGGAAGCCCCCAAACCGAAACGCTAAGTCTTGAGCTGCCTGAAGCCGTCTTAAGCCCCACACCCATCCAAACCCTACGCCAAAAAAAGCTCCAAATTCTGAACTGTGTGAGAGCCAGGGAAGCAGCTCGGTGGGTTCTGTGATTTCAGCAAGCTCTGCCGACAGCCTCGCCGAGGAAAGGGGATTCCACGCGTAAGGGTGTAGGGTTTAGGTTTAGGGATTCCAACAGGTTCCGTGGTTTGATTCGGCTACATGACGTAGGATTTGGGGTTGGGTGTACACAGGCTTCCTTACGAATAAGGGATTGTAGGAGTCCCTTCCAGGGAACAGGTAGACAGTATTTGAGAGAGTCCCAGGTCTTGTTGTGGTTTGTTGGGATTGTAAGAGTTGAAGGGACCGCGATATAGACCCAATAATGCTATAATCCTTATGAGAGGGATCCCCAAAAAGTACCCCTAATTTTGGGAAACCCCTAAACCCTAAACCGCTTGTAGTTCAAAATTTGGTTTGCTTTCAAAAAAAGTCCTAGAGATGGCGTGTAGGGCTGACTTTTAAGAGGAGCCTTAAAGTGTCCAAAGCATCCCAAAGCGCCATATGAGCCATAGTCTAGGTTATATCTTAACTCCTTAAAGGGGGTTATATAGGGGATTATATAGGGTTTAGGGTTTAGGGTTTAGGGTCTAAACTCCTTAAAGGGGGTTCTATAGGGGATCATATAGGGGATTACTATAGGGGTTATTAAGGGGGATACTAGGAGTTTAGACTATAGCTCATATGTAGCCCTACGTGTATGGAGCCCCCACACCTTTTTGAGGAGTTCCCATAAATATTTGACTGATTTGCTGTCAGGCTCCTTGGGGGTTGGGAGGTTAGCTAGGGGTTTTAGGGTTTTGGGTTTAGGGTTTAGGGTTTGGGGTTTAGGGTTTAGGGCTGCAGTATAACGCGGCTCATTGCCTTGGGATTTTGAATGGTAGCTTCCATTTTAGTTTCCGTTATCCCAGTATAACCTCAATATAACCCTAATATTGACTACCTAAAGGACCTTATTCAACCCTGAAGTAGGATGAGGAGGGGAGGGAAACGGTTTTTAAGTGTTTGGGTTTCAGTTGCAGGGGGTGGAGAGTGTCAGAGGGTTGGGTCTCCAGCTCAATGTATCAGTTTTTTTAATTCTGGGCCGGGGGTATGCACACATGTTGCATCAATTAGACCAGAGGAAGTCCATGGGCATAACTGACCGTGTGGCGGATAGGTGTGCATAAGACGCTTGATTGAAAGCCTCATGCGTGGGTGTATATTCTAGTTCATCTCATGTCACAGAGCAGGTAATCCTTTGCATTGTGAGCTGTGTTCACAGCACGTCCAGCACGCATGCAGTGACGTAGCTGTGACTGTCGCCTCTCCGTCTGGTTTTCAGGCCAAGGCAGCTCCCAAAGCATCATTCCCACAGCCAAACAGCAGCGACGTCCGCGGCCTAAAGGCAAGTTTGACTGGAGTGAGAATGGCAGGAGTATTCCTTGTAAATATATCTATCATGTTGTGGGGTTTAGGCAGCAGTAGCAGTATCCTTGGTCCTGGAATGAATGTATCCATGAACCCAGGAGTTTGGTATGCCCTTTGTGCTAAGGACGGCAGCAGCACAAGCAGCAGTGAGAGCATAGAGCGCTCCTGATCTAAATCCTTGTTATTCAGGTTATGAGAGAGCGATTAAACTAATGATTTTCATAATTGCTTGCACCCCTTCAAAAGACAGAGAATAGTGTATTGCAAAGACTTCTAGGGGGGCTACAGGCCAAGTATCCCGTGCCTAAAGACAATCGTGCATGAATATTCGTTTATGTGCTCTGCAGGTCCAAAAACAGTGAGCGTTTCAGAAGTGCCTGTGATCCATGGTGAAGTTCCTTGCCAGGATCAACCAAACCCGAAACCCTAAACCGCGTTAAATTGGGACACACAAGCTGAACGGATGTGTAGGTTCACTCGCTCTTGTCACTTTGCCCGCCTCAACCGCGCATGGTGTGCGCTGCTGTGTGAACTTAGGTTCGAAGCTCCTAGTGAATGTGGGCTTTATTAATCAACACCAAAGATATTCAACTAGCCTTGACTCTTTCCGGTAGAGCCTCGACAAGTGCAGTGGATAGACACATACGCAATCTTCTGCAAGTGGGTTTTTGTCTTTTGCCCCCAGCTGGGGGGTTGAAGCCATGGACGAACTGTCTCTTGGCTGGAGCTTGGAGATTTGCATACAGGCGTTATATCTAGGGAGTATGTAGGGTTCTGGTTTAGGGATGTTATCCACCAATAATGAAGGATCAATTGAAAAATGAAAAATACACGGAAACCTGATGATATCCTTGGAGCAGCAGGACCATGGGGTGCATTCGCCCTGCGCATGCAAGGCTGTCGCAGTTGCAGCACAAGATCAACCGGACACCTCCCATTTGCGTGCCATCTTCAACCGACAAGGACTCATCAGCATGGAGCAATTATTGGGTATTGCCCCCAATCCTTAACAGTTGGATAATGACGAGAATATGAGTAATAGTCTCAACCCCTTGAAGGGGGATTATTTGGGGGATAAAATTTAGGAGAATATTACAGGGGTTATTAAGGAATATTGAGGGGGATACTAGTTGTTTAGATAAGGGCTCATCTAACTAGATAGAGTTCTTGGTATGAACCCTAAATCCTAAGGTCCTAAATCCTAAGCCCTAAATCGCATGGCTCGTGGGTGGGGGCAGGACCCAAAGCAGATACGGGGGGAAGGCCTCTGGAGCTTGAAGCTTACGATGACAGGGACTGGTGATAAGAGCAGGGCAACCGACTGTAGGGTTTAGGGGGTTCAGGGTGTAGGGGGTTTAGGGTTTTGGAGGTTTAGCGTTGAGGGGGGTTTAAGGGGTTTAGGGGGTTTAGGGTTTAGGGTGACTCTAGCGCTGTGATTGCTTTTGCTATGCTGCTGGGTTCCCTATGCTGGGCTCCCTGTACAGAACTGGGTTTAAGTTACCGTGCTATGGATATACCCTTGAAAATAGAATTTCGTTGTAATAGTAACTTAATTGAAAAAAAAAGCTCCTTGGCAGGCACCCAGTTTATGAAAGCTCCCTGGACCGGAGCGTCAACAGCTTGATCGTAAGCCCCTAAACCCTAAACCTCAAATCCTAAACTCTCAATGAAAGGCTCCCCACCCGTGCTGCATGGCTGGGTTGCTGTTAAGGAACTTAAATTAAGTTACTATATTGGGGAAACCTTATTATTTACTATATATACCCTTTATGGTAGCTTAATTTAAGTTCC